CCCACACAGTAAATTGGCCGCCATGTTGGACGTCAAGTTTATTAAGAGTTCAATGGGGGAAAACACATTTTCTTGCCTTGCTACCTTCTTGAGGCCTTTTTCGGAAGCTTAGAAAGGATCCTGAGGATCTAATGGGGTCTAGTAGTCACCTGAAAGATTGCTATCAAGAAATACAGAGCGGTTTTCTGGTACCAAGCCTTTTTCTATCTTTTCTCCATTGCTACCAATGGAAAGTTGACGTCCAAGGAACTAATTTTTTTTCTTGAAAATTATTACGGTATGCAATGAATACATTTATTTTGCAATGAATATACTTAGCACGCATATCCTCTATTCTTTATTCTCATGCCTTTTAATGTAATAGCACAAATTCAAAGGTTGGGATCAATGTTCCAGTAAAAGTGTCTAGATCTTTTCTGAATGACTCCAAGCCTTTCTCTCTCAGAGAGAGACAGCAGAGAAGGTATTTGGACTTATTAGTATCTTTAGTTGGAGAGGAAGCGGAGTTAGGCCTCTTGTGAGGACTAATGAGACATGTGTACAACTGCCCACTGTTGGTGGACCTACAAAAGAGAAACAGCATCAATTCAATACCATAATGATTATATTTAAAAAAACTTAAAAACTGGCAAACGAATTATGACAAAAGGTGCAAACATATAACTAATATGGTAAGTGTTCATGCCCACAAAACACACCATTTAATGTATGAAGAGATAAATTTTATGTGTTAAGGCACTTCATTTTTTATAATTATGAGTTATGTGCATTGTCTCAAATTTTTGCATTGCCTATTATGTCTCATCTTATAATTTTTAAAATTCCACAAAATTTTGATTGGAATCAGTTCAAAGTTTCTATACAATGCAAGAAAACATGTGTATCAAAAAATTTTTTAATGAAGAATCCTTTCCTAGTAATCTTTGATAAAATATCCTGTACTATAGCACAGGAACTTTGAGCAACTTTAAAAATTCATAAAAAAATCAAAATTTGATCGGAACCAGTTCAAACTTTCTACACAACATAAGAACATGTATATGTTCTAGAAAAATTATTAAAATGAGGAATTCTCTACCTTTCACTTTTGGCAATAATTGGCCAATAATCCTGTACTATGGTACAAAGACTTTGACCTAATTTTGGAGCAACTTTAAAAATTCATAAATATTCAATTTTGATTGAAATCAGCTCAAACTTTCTACAATGTATATACATGTATATGTATAATAAAACATTAAAAATGAAAAAATCTCTCCTAGCTTTTTTGATGAAATACCCTGTAATATAATAATGTATATATAATAGCCAAATGGCTTTTCGGCAGATTTTTGAGCAAGCTAAAAAATTTATAAAAAATCCAATTGAGATG